TGGTGTAACTGATTGGTGAGAGAAACAAATTTTAAAAGCGAACACGAAGAAGAAGAAGGCTTCATCTCAGGGGGAGTGCACACCCCCTGCACCCCCCCCCTTAGATCTGCCCCTGTGTACGTTATTGTCTAATATGCATTCAACCTCATCCACCTAATCAAAATACCTCCATCTTCATCCACCGTCACCTCCATTCACCTTCACACTCCTTCATCCACAATGGAAGATGGAGTTCTTATGTTTTCTAGGAAAATCAAGCATGTATCTACTAGCAGGTCATGCATCCACTAGGAGTTTTTCTCAACCTCATTATTTTCTTAGAAAACATGGAACTTCATCTTCTATTGGTAAATACTTGGAAATTAACGATAAAATAAACATAAAATTCCAAAAAAGCTAACAAAATCCAGAATTTTATTCATGTTAATATGTACAAGAAAATTTTAATAATGCCCCCAACAGATTATTGCATTTGAGTTTTACTCTCTGGCAATAACTTCTTTGCATTTAGAGAATATATATTTACTTGTGACCAAAAACAAAAATATTAAAAACAAAATTCATTTTGATATTCCCCCTGAGGAACCACACAATATTCACACTAGCTTTTCATTTCATGGAGAAATTGAAAGGGAAATAACATGGAACACCTAGGATTTTTGAAACTTTGCAGATTTTACAATTTTGGAGTGAGAATTGTCCATCACTTGCTATTGCATCATAATTTTCATCATTTCCTTAAGTAGACATGACAGCTATCCAAGAATAAGTTGCTGTCCCTGATCACTGTGACGAGCACTGTGTAAAACTCTGTTTCCTGACGTGAGCCTGTAATCATCGCCCACCTGACTGGGACGAGGTTCACCTGTTAGAACATTGGTATTATCAGTGTTGTAAATACAGGGCATTGACAAAGTGTGAGGTCATCTTTTCCACCAAGGACCTGCCCTCAATTGATGCAATCTGAGCAGTCCCACTTGAATGTTAACTGTGGAAACCAGGAGGAGAGGGGGATTTGTATAGGGGGATTTGTATAGGGGGTTGGTGTGTGGCACACTTCCTGAAACCTTTGCCCTATTTAAGCCCTAAATAGGAAGACTTCATCTGTCCTATTTTAAACCAGACTGCAATTCTACAAAAACATTTATCTAGTTTCTACCCATCCCAAATTCCATACAACAGTGCACAAGCCAGACTCTCTATTTTGAGATGAAAACAATGACCTGAAAAATACTGTCAGTAATAGTAAATACCAAATCACTTAAGTCGTAAAAGGAAATTGCCCAGGGGTAACTGCATATAAAAAGGATGGGGGTGCTCTTCAGAAATTTTGAAAAGAACTCCAAGATCCTGTTTTGTGGGTGTGCCTTGAATTTTTTTTTCACACCTAAGAGCTATCAATTCTAAAACAACAAATTATCTTCTGTCAATTTTCTTCGGCTCAATAACCTAAAAAGTACCACAAAAGCTACTGCTGTGGACCGTTTTAGGCTGAACACCCTCAGAGCTACTAAACCCACTTTTTTAACCCTAATAAATCTCTTAGCACTTTGTGATGCATCACTGATTACCTTCTTACATAATTTGGTTAGGAATGACGCAGGTAGAATTTTAAGCATTGAAAGCATTATAATTTGTTTGAGTGGAATTTCTTTTTACCTGTGATGATATTGTAAGAGTAAGGCATTGGTGGAAGTCTCTTAACTCCTGGACCTCGTTGCCTTCCAAGAAGATCATGAACCTTGTAGTATGTTGTTGAAAAGTTCATCTGTTGATTAATATCATAATACATTGAGGTCTCTGTTGAAATATATTCTAACAACTGCACACATGCAAAGTTTACTGATGCGGCAAATAGCTGCTTTTTTTTTTTCTATAAATGTGTCTCCAAGGATCTTGAAAGATTTTGCCCAAAGACTTTAAGATGTTGGAGGATCCTTGCAAGATCTTTAGAAGATCTTTCATAAAAATTATTTTTAAGTATTAGTGTAGAGTACTGTTGGACTATGTCAGCAGGCAAGTGAATTAATTAAACTTGACTATTTATCAACTTCAAGTTGATATAGTTAGATTAATTGCTAAAGTGAGTTTGTGAGGCTGATGTTTTGAGCATTACCCCTTTAAACGACCCTAGAAAGATCCTAATCCTTATTGATCTTAACTAAGATCCTCAAAGACCCTTTTGCAGGCTCTTCACCAAGGATATACAACTTGATAAGGAGTACACTTAAAGTCAAGTCCCACTCAGACAAAGATCAAAATAGCAAGTACATATATTATTGTAAAGTACATATATTGCTTCTCCCCCTGGGAGGGATGGTGGTCTATCACAGTCCCTCTCCCCTCCCCTGGTATTGTGTCAGATTGCCCTAACAGTTTGGCAAAACCCACTGATACATGTACTTCTTGCCAAGAAGACAATGACCCTGGTCAGAGCTTGAACTCATACACTTTATCCAACATGCCAGCACATGTCCAACATGCCAGCACATCTACATGTATCCCTTTTATTACCACTCCATTTGAAATCAGATACATTGTACTGTTGTACCACAGCCCCAATACAGACCTGGGGTCCTGTGGTTGAACTCCCAGCAAATATGCACTTGAGACACCTCACAAACCCAACACAGGTAGCCTCAGACCAGAGATTCCAACAATCTAAATTTTTCATACTGACGACTGATACACCACAGACATTTATGTATCGTGTGATTCAGTAGGTTCAGTAGGGGAAATACATTCAATCTCTTTTTTTAGGTGTGCTGAATGATCCTTTAAAACATGTATAATTTACTTTTGCATTGTCATCTTGGAGTCTTGATTTCTTTTGCTAGGCTACAAATTAAAGCTAATTTGGACTAACATAATACATTGGTCCTTCCATCTTGAATTTACCATTCACCACTCCAGGTTTTTTTCTTTACATATACATGGATCTCTGTGGATAATTTTAATGAAAAATTCTAGATCTTATAAATACTTAGTCTGATAATGATAATTTACCTCCTGTGAGCCCTGTTGTCTCGTTGATTGGACCATATCAACTCCCGCCATCTGAGCGTTCCATCTGATGTTATCTTCGTGAATTTCTTCAGCCTGTAAGTTTAGATAATGAAGTAAGATGGCCATGAAAAATTTAGTCCCAGGATTAAAGTAGTTTTCACTTAAAAATGTGGGGGGAGGGGAGGGAGCTCGCATAGAAAAAGAATGGGGAGCTCGGCAAAAATTTTGGAAAGAAGATCCTATTTTGTAAGCATGGCTTGAAAACTTTTTCACCCCTAAAAGGTATTAATTCTAGAACAACACATTAACTGAAACTTTCATAACTTTTTAATACAGTAAAGACAATTGCTTCAAATACCTTCTCCTTATACAGTTGATTGTCAAATATCTCAATCACATTTTTTTGCCCACTTAATACCCTCAGAGGTACTGTGAAAGCTCCCGCTGTGTACCTTATGAGGCTGAACACCCTAAGAGATATGAAAGCCGCTTTTTAACCCCTGAAAAGAAGAGCAAGTACCCCCATCTTTTTTATATGGGAGTTTCCCCATGCGTTATATCAACAGTACATGGTCATATGATGAGGCAGGCCTCCAAATCTTCAAACAAATTTGATATTTTCTAGTTTATAGATACATTCTTCAAATCTTCTGATTCCCTGCAAAAATTTGCTGTTCTCACAAAATAACATATTTATAAGAAATGTTGCCCCAACAGTCTCCTCTCTCAAATCCCTTCCAGTATTAAAACAAAATTTAACATTACTTACTGGTCTTGTGTTGTGGTTTACATATGTCTTCTTAGAGTGTGTGTTAAGTTGATGTCCTGGTAGAATTCCAATGCTGAAGTGTGATGTGTGTTGAGATGGGTAAGCTGGCGGTCTTCTACTGGGTTGTAAATTCTTATGTCCAGAGAAATTCTGTGTAACATTAAAGAAAAGAAGATCTTACTTGCAGCAAACCATCCAAAAATTTTATCATCCAACTTTAAATAA